GAAATTTTTCTTCTCCCACTGGACTCTTCATAGTTGTATGTTTCTACTTGGAGTAAACAGCGATTGCATGTGGTTGTTGCGGACGATGGCAGAAGTGTCGCCTTCAGGGTTGGTTAGTATCGTAGTTTCACACCATATCATTAATTGAAATATTCTCGTAGGTAAGAGTTTTGTTTTATGGCGTGGGAGTCGAGGGCGTTCGATAGTTACGGTAATTGCAAGTCGAATGGTTTCAGCTCCTTGAAAGATTTCGTGTCGTTACTGTAAAGAAGTTTTGAAGTACTTCTGCATGAGAATCCGACATTTGTGCAAAAACTGATGGATATTTTGTGGATTTTCACTTATTGGTGGTTAATTACTATGGTTATCTTGCTGAAAAGAAGTCTGCTGGGAATTAAGACGGGAATTAAGACGCAAAGCCAGGAACGAGGCCACCAGACAAAGAAGAACAGCAATAAAACAGTACTGGAATAAAATGTCAAACGATCTGAAAAACAATCCTAAGGCATTTTTCAAGACCTTCAAGCCATTTTTGAGTTCTAAGAGCTGTATCGAAAGAAATGACATCCACTTAAAAATGACAAACGGCAGTATGATAAGGGATCAACAACAGCTGGCTGAGGAATTGGTTGAGCATTTTGCTACCTTGGCGGATGGCATCGGAGGCACAGCGATTGAAAAAAAGTCAATTGAGGGCTTTTGGGACCACCCTTGTGTTCAGAGGATACAGCATGAAAACAGGGACTTCACAGAAACCATTGAAATCAAACCAGTCACACATGGTCAAGTCCTCGCAGCTCTCGATTCGCTGAATACAAACAAAGCCACCAGCACTGATGGCAACCCTTCCAAGGCCTTAAAAGTTGGTGTCGAGGAATTATCCGCTCCATTAACCACCTTGTTCAATTCTTGTATCGACAACAATGCATGGCCCTGTGAATGGTAGTTTGGGTATTGGGCTCCAGTATACAAAAAAGATGACAGGACTGTGAAGGAAAACTACCAGCCCATAACACTCTTACCTTGTGTAAGCAAAGTTCTTGAGAAGCTGGTTAGAGCGCAGATCAACTCCGCTTTGGGAAGCCGCTTTTATCAGAACTCATCTGCCTATTGCAAAGCTCACAGCTGCGAAACAACTTTGATCAATCCAGTAGAAGATTGGAGACTCGCAAGGGATCCAAGACAGGTTGTGAGTATACTTTCAACAGATAATTATGTCAAAGCCCTTTGACTTGTTACACCCACCACTACTTCTATGCAAGCTTAAAGTGAACGTTCTCCAGAAAAGCACTATTCAACTCCTAAACAGTTATTTAAATGAACAGAAATATCAAGTAAAGATTGGTTGTCATGTTAGTTCGAGCCAATTTGTGAGTGGTGGCTGTCCCCAGGGTTCTGCACTTGGCCCATTCTTATGGAATGTTTTCCAGAATTATCTATCCTACTGTCTTACTGCGAAATTGTCTATGTATGCAGACGACCACCAGATTTACCATGCAGGTGCAGATCAGGCAGCTGTCACATCCCAGTTAAAGGATAGTGCCAACTTAGCAACAATGTGGTATGGCTCTAACTTACTGGCAGGAAACCTTGAGAAATATCAGGTTTTGAACTTGGGCTTCACTCAAAATGACAGTCACATCTGTGTGAATGATGTTGAAATCCAAACCAAAGATAACATTAAACTTCTAGGAGTAGAGTTAGATTCCAAGCTAAATTTCTCTGAGCATAATTATAATCTCTATCTGCAAAAAAGCTAGCCAGAGAATTGGCGTTCTATTGAGATTACGTAATTTAATTCCTACGAAATCTAAGCTAATACTGTTCAAAAGCGTGGTTTTACCATACCTCACGTATTGTCACCTACTGTGGCACTTTTGCGAAGCGAGCGACACTTGAAAGCTTGAAAGACTACAAGAAAGAGGACTTAGGGCAGTTTTCAAGAACTACAATTCTGGTTATAAACAGTTATTAGAGAGGGCAGATTTGCCCACCCTACTAAATAGGCACTTGCAGGACCTGTGCATCCTCATGCGCAAAGCATAAACTGTGTCCTGCTTAGATAAGCAACATCTTTAAAGTACACAATAGCAATTACAATTTGAGGCAAGCTGATTTCTCTATACCCAGGTATGAAACTGTCACTTATGGCAAACACTCTATTAGATTTCTAGGGCCCAGGCTATCGAAAAAATTACCGAAGAGTATAAGGGAGGTCGAGACCCTCAAGTTGTTCAAAGGCAAGATATGCCAACTCAGTATAAGTGAGCTCTTGGATGATGGCTGCACATGCTGTAGCCTTTGCTCCTCTTGAATTTTATATATTTTTATTACAAATCCCGTAACTAGTTAACTATAGATGTTCTCTTAGTTTTAATACATGTACTACTCTAAAAAGCTCCTAATCTTTTCTCTTTTTTAGTGTCCCCAAATTAGTAAGGGATTTTTCCCTAGCTAGACGGCTCTTGACACTTTTAATAAAGTTTTACTACTACTGCTACTTCTGCTTATCGGTACGATCTTATTTAGTGCATCAAGGCTTGTTAAGATATTTCTTGCTGAATTGCTTTGTCTTCGTACGAAATCGAAGGGAAATAAACGTCAAGCGTCCGTTTTGTTCATTGTCAAATACATTGAAGCAAAATATTGTGATTCTCTATGTTTATTTCAAGTGTATTTTAATCGCGGCTAAACTTCAGAATACCCGGCCACATCATTTCGATGTCATTGAATAAGAATGACGTTTTTTGTGTTATGCCTCGTTCTTCAAAGCCTCCCGACATATGTAAATGATGTGGACGGGTATTCTGAAGTTGCTCCTTAATCACTTATTCACAGCACGTGTGTACATATTTTTGTTCACAGAGGCTGCCGACGATGTCAAAGTTACAATCGTGGTGGACAATCCCACTAAAGTTCATGAATTCACTCACATAGTATACCTACACTGGAACTATTCCTGTCCTGATGGTGCCCCATTAAAGAAGTTGATTACTTTTAAGCCACAATGGTGCCGACACATACATTGGGTATACAGCCGACAGAGTGATCAGAGTCTCACCTAGTTTTCCTTCACGGGATCGTTTTTTGATCGAGCGGCCAGCCACTTTGATAATCCGCAATGTAAATGTTGTCGATGCAGGGACGTATACTTAAGGAGTTGAGCTGGAGTCAGTGAAAAGAACCCAAAGCTTAATCGACCTGACTGTTCTTGGTAAGTAATCATTATTATGTAATCAATCTTTAGGTATAGTGCACTTTATCTTCCACCTTGGAATAAAAGGCCAAGCCGATTCTAAGCCTCAGGCCACATTCACACTTGGTGCTTGAGCATGGTGCCCGTGTATGATTCTTGATGGCGCTAATATGAACACAACTTTTCTTCAAGTACTCATGCCAGAATCTTGGCACTGAGTTGGGCACTGATATATCAGGTACCCAGTGTCTGAATACAGCATCATATTATGGCATTGCCCTGGCACAAATGCTTGGTCACCAAGTGTGAACACAGCCTTACATTTCTTTTTACGATGAAGTCCTGTTCAGCAGATGCCTTAATAATTATAAATTGTATTTGGCTTATTTCTTTTATTAAGAACCTCAAGTAAGGGGAAACTGGACTGAATTAATTCACAATGTAGGGAATGGGATTACATCCTCAAAATAGTTGATTAAATGTAATCAATACATGTCGATGTACTGTGTATGTAGTCATTGCTGTTTTGCTGTTATGTTTTTGCATTATTACCAACAAATTTGAGTTGGTAATGAAAAGTAATGAACTTGAACTCTGGATAGCTTTGTTGACCACACAGAGTA